CCCCAAAACCCCAAAACCCCAAAACCCCAAAACCCCAAAACCCCAAAACCCCTTGGTAAAGGGAAAATAATGAGTTTAGAAATTATTAATTTATTAGGAGGAAATTTTAAAAATGGGAAGCCAGCTTTCGAAACATTATTCGGTTGATAAGGAAGTTCATTGACTTGGAGGGGTTAATCATATGTGGAGAATACATAAAGCGACGAAAAAGGGGCCTAATAAGAAGCCTGTCTCGGTGTTCATTTTTGATAAGAAGAAATGTGGCCAGAAGGTCGTGGATTTTTTGAAGAAAGATGCAGATGAGCTCGCTAGAATCAAGCATCCAAATGTACTTACTTTAGAGCAACAACCTTTGGAAGATAAAGCATTGGTTTTTATTACGGAGCCTATTGAATACTCTCTCGCCTTCCTTTTGGATAATTATAAGATGAAAAATTCCTTACCTGGAGAACTAGAAGTCAAGTTGATCATGCTTGAGCTTATGGAGGCAGTTCACTTTTTGCATAATACTGCTAAATTAGCTCACTTGAATATCACTCCAGAGAACATTTATATTAACAATGAAGGGAAAGTCAAGCTCACAGGTTTTAATTGATGTACAGACATTACAGGAACAACTGCTTCAGTGGATTTTAGATACAAGACCTATTGAGATGGCAAGGTCGCATTAGCACCAAATCTAAGATTTTGAGCACCAGAAGTTGTGAATGAGGGTCAAGCATCAGTGCAATCAGATATTTTCTCTCTCGGATGAGTCTTATACTATCTTTTAAACATAGATAAGGGAGAGAAAGCTTATGTCCTAAACATTTCAGATACTTTCAATACATCAGAGCATTCTGTTGCATGTAGCGACTTGAAGAAAAACTTAGAGACAAAATTCTCGGGTCTTCCATATGCTTTAAAGCATCTTCTTACATCCTGATTAGATTCGAATCCTGCGAACAGAGGAACCGTGAATACTCTCGTTGAAAACCAATTTTTCCAAGATCCTTTAATCAAGACAATCAAGTATTTAGAATCAATAGAGACTAAAGAGCATCATAATGTTGTTCAATTCCTTACTGGTCTCTCAAGGATCCTTGAGAAGTTTGATAAAAGAACTTGTGTGAGGAAAATTATCCCTCTCATGCTAAAATGTGTGAACAAAGAAGATCTCTCTATTCTGATTCTCCCAGCTTTCATTAAAATGATCAAAAAGGAAAACTTTATGTCCAAAGAACAGTTTTATGAATATGCCTGGCCTAATATTTCTAGGTTATGCCAAGCAGGAGAGCTACAGGCTCAAGCTCTGTATATTCTTGTTGATAACCTTGAGCTTTTCCATGGATTGCTCCATGCAAAAGACTTCCAAGACATTTTATTCCCACTGCTTTTAAAATCTCTAGAGTGTGGTGTTCATAAACTCCAGGGACTAGGAGTTCAAAAGATTCCCTTCCTAAGTAAGAAGATAGAGTATATGACTTTCAAGAGTCAATTAATGCCAAGATTCCTAAGCATTCTGACGAATAAGGACATTCCTCTAAACCTGAAAGAGCAGGGATGCGAAGTGCTCATTCAAATCCTCAGTGTGCTAGACAGAAATTTCCTCAGGGATAATATTCTCAAGACCTTACAAGCTTTGAGGGACAGCATTAATGAACCAACAATATGCATGCATATCCTAACTCTTTACTCAGGCATTGCAGGAACATTAACTCCAGAAGATATTGGAAACAAGATCTTGCCTGGCTTAATTCCGATGCTTATCAGTGCTTCATTCACTAAGGTTCAATTCAGTAAGCTGATCAGTACAATTAGAACTTTGATCGACCAACTAGAGAAGCACAGACTTAAAGACCTTAGTGAGATGGATCCTCTTGGAGATGAAGATGGATTAACAAAATCAAAACAAAAGGATATTTTCGCAGGACTTTCTAGTGATGATCCCCTTGCGTCACTCCCTCCACAAGAGAATGCAGGAGATTTTGATTTCCTTAGTCAAATTGAGGGGACTGGCCAAATGCAGACCCCAAAGAAATCAGCTATTAAAACTGCTAATCCCAATGCTACTCCATCTTCAGATCCTTTCTCAGGTTTTGGAGGTGGTACATCTAAACCTGCCTTTGGAGCTCCAGCAGGATCGAATAAGAATGACATTTTTAAAGGAATAGGTACTTCTGCTCCAAATGTTTCTCAATCAAAACCAGTTGGAAGTATGTCTCTGGGAGGAGGAACTGGGATGAAATCGGACCCATTTGACACATCTTCTCAGCCGATAAAATCTTTATCTAAACCAAATAGTACTTCTGGACAAAAGAAGGACATATTCTCTGGCATGGATCCTTTCTCAGGTTCATCTAATCGTAAGTGAAACTTTTGTAATTTTTCTGAAATACAATCTAGAAAACTTAAATACCAAAACTGGCATTGGTGGAATGCCATCAGTCCCAATAAAGATGTCAACAGGATTTGGATCCATCGGAGGCGGCGATCCATTCGCAGAACTTGAGAATGAGTCGAAGGATAATCAGGATAGTGGATTTGGAAATCTGGGAGGTTTTACTAATTCTACCTCAAAGCCAAGTAATTCATTCAACCAAGGGACTAAACCTCAGTCTAATTTTGGAGGACAAAGTTCTTCAAGTCCCTTCTCTGATTTTGGGTCATCTGGATCTGCTATTCAAAACAAGAAGCAGACATCAAACTCAGCATTTGATTTTGGTGGAGGAAGCTCAGCTGCTAAACCAACCTCATCTTCAGGATTAGACTTTGGAGGAAATTCATTTTCAAAGCCAGCAAATAATTCAGGATCAGGATTTGGAAGCGGAAGTTCTGCTTCAAAACCAGCATCAAGTTCTCCATTTGATTTTGGAAGTGGCAGCTCAGGTTCAAAGCCAGCTGCTAGCTCAAGTTTTGATTTTGGAGGAAGCAGTAGCACATTGCCAAAACCACCCTCAGCCACAAACACAGGGTATTCAAGATCTTCTGATCCGTTTGGAGGATCATCTGCACCTCCAGCATCAAATTTCCCTTCTTCATCTTCAGATCCTTTCGGCTCCTTGTCCTCTGGAGTATCAGGATCCTCGACTGCTTTCGGAGGTCCTCAAAATACAGGTAAGTTTCAAATCATTAATAAATTCCGGTGATAGCCTAAATTACTCTTATCTCCTTTAATTTACTAGTTATTGTTTTATCTAAACATAATATAGGTTTTGGGACAACTCCAGCTACCCAGAGCACAGGAATGGGCTTCTCTTCAGGGATAGACATGAACAAACCAATGGACCAGAACACAATGAATATGATGATGAACATGATGAGCAATTTTACGAATCAAATGAATAACCAAAATAATAAATTTTAAATAAAAATCCAGCATAATGTCTACTTTCATGGCTCTCTAGCTGCCTGGGTATCTCACTGCCTTAAATGATGCCCTAAGGAGCTGATGCTTCTGGAATGTTCTTTAAATTGCGGATAAAGAAGATTTTGTCCTACATTCAACGAAATAATTATAGTAAGGGGTTTTGGGGTTTTGGGGTTTTGGGGTTTTGGGG